CCTGGGGGTTGCATGCCCCCATACCCATTCTCCATGGGAGTGCGCACAGCAGCAGGCAGCTGGGCCTTCCTCCCCACCCCTTGGATGAGCTGAGCTGTCTGTGGTCCTGTCCCACTCCCCATCTGAGTCCCAGGCCCCATTCACTGCCCTGGCTGGACAGTACCCTGAGTCACAGCACCTACCCCACTCCCTCCCTCACCTTGGGGGCCTCAATCTGCCCCTCCCCCCTGAATAGACTTACCTGTAGGCAGCCAGGGAAGCTGCTCTCTGCCACTGCCTGGGGCTGTAGTCCTGACCATGTGCAAGTACGCACCCCTTGCATCCCACTCCCTGCAGCCCCTTGCAGGCTGGAACACTGCCAGCCTTCAAGGGGCAACCTGCCTTTTCCCATGTTTTTTCCCATAAAACCCAGATCTCTGCACAATACTGGGAATCCAGGACAAATACTGTCCCAGAGTCATGCAGCCCAGGACTGGGACTTAATGTTTCCATTTCAGAACTGTCCTACCCAAGTAGGGACAGGTGATCACCCTGCCCTCTTCCTGAGTGGGGGCAGGGCTCCTGGACCCCACGTACTCGGTGCCTGTGCCCCCGCATTGTTTGAAGGTGCTTCCTGGCAAGGGGTCTGAGTTCTCAGCAGTCTAGATTCTGCTCAAGGGAACTGCAATCCCTTCAGTTGCAGAGGGAGTGAGAGTCTGGGGAGGAGAGAATGGAGTTTTTCCTACCACCATATTTTTCCCAAACAGCTGCAGAGTGGGGATTGGGAAGATGTTTCTGCCCCTCTGCCCACAACTGTCAGCAACCAACAGAGGGACTGAGGGTTGCTTCTCCTAAGGTCCCCGTGTCGTGTTCCCCTCCACCCCCCCGTTACTTCAGTAGCCATTAGAGGATGGGCTCGGGGTTTCTTGCAAGAGAGATTCCCTGAACTTGGCTGGAGGGTCCCTTTAGCATTTGCACTTGACTGTTGAGGTTTCAGTACATACGTGAGCCCTGACTGTGTCTCTTATTCCAGACTACATTGCAAACTGATGAAGTGAAAAATGTGCCTTGTGGGACGAGGTATGTTGTTTTATATACGTGTTTTTTCTGGCTTTGGCAAGCAGATGTGATCTGATTTTTTTTCAGCTAGCTCATTCTTGAGAGTAGCTTTGAGAGTGTGAATGAGTGTGTATAAATCCTGGGTGGAGTGTTTATTCAGAAATGTAGATGTGGGTGGAAGGAGATGGGAGAATACACCAGGTTGCTCTTGTATTGTTCCCTGCAGCTGCCAGAGCTGATATTTGGAGGGCATTTGCACCTGTGACAACAGAAGCCATGCTCTTGAGGGTATAAATTTTTGTCTTAGCCTCTTTACTTTTCTCTACTGTTGTCTGATCTTCTGTTGTTGTCTTAGTGCTGAAGACTAACACTCGAAGTGATACTACTGATTTCTGTGTTACCTCAGGAAAATAATAGCTACACATTTTTGCATTTGGCTTAGTCAGGGTGTACTCCCCTATCATGAAACAAACCCTCACAAAAATCCAGGAGCTCATGAATTGTGGATTTATTGTCAGCCTGATTTGGTTAGAAACTGGTTTAGAGCAAAAAAACCTTGAAGTTTAAATGTTACAGAGCACTAAAATTACGTAATGTGTTATCTAAGCCACAGATTCTCAACCAGGGTGCCCTGAGATGCTTTTAAAGGTGCCATGGGGTGCTGCTCAATATTATCACTGTTAGGTGTGCAAACGCCTACCCATGATTCACAAGATAAACCCAGGAATTCTATATTTTAATCCATAGTGTCAAAAACATTCTGACCTGTTGTAGTCTTTCTGACTGCTTTGCCACAGAACAATTGCTGTATTCTTTTTTTTTTCTGTGGTCAAAAACCACATGAAAGCTCAGAGCTGGCATTTTCTGAGAGGTGCCTTGAGTATGAAAAGGTTGAGAACCACTGATTATAAGCACTGAAGTCTTGGAAACAATTCCGCGTACATGTTTCACAAGATAACATACACAAGTTCAAAAGATCCCAAATGCTTGTATTGATGCTGTGTAAGAGTGATGGTGTAGCTGTGATGGTCCAGAAAATATGCAAGGCACGGATTTCATTGCAAGTGGTGGATTATTTATTTACATGCGTGTTTGTGCATTAGTAATGTTGCAGAACTGACCTCTTAAGTCAAGAAAATTTCAGAAGAAATCTTGTGAAACATTAGCTCAGTGACGTTACTCATCCCTATTATTTTACAACATGGTGATGTCAAAGGTGACAGCTCAGTGGGAATTCACTTTACAGCAACATCTGCTTGCTATCCTCCAGGGTGACAAAAGCCACAGACCTTTTTCCTATCCAGTAGTGACATGTATTTCCATCAGGAATGTCTCCCCTCCTTGAGCCTTACTTATGATTCTCTTTGATAGGGCCTCTCTTTAAACCTGTGTCCTCTTTTTATATCATTTGTCTATTCATATAACCCAGACTGTTGATCGAGAAGCTGACAAGACCTGCCAGCAGAGCCCACAAAATTTTGAACAGGAGTTTTTCATTGCTGAGCCCATGCTAGTTATTTTCTGGCCCTGAGGATCTTTCCTGCAGACACCTACTCTCCGCTGGCATAGCTCGGTTCATCCCTAACAGAGTTTGTCAGTTCCTTGCTGTGAAAAACGTCTCATTTCAGAGCAGACAAGTCTGGCACTGTGGACCCCTTGAGTAGTGTTCTCAGTTTTTCTGCTTGTTGTAAGCTCACATCAGATATGTCTGTTAAAATGTACTAAATGTATAAATTCATGTTTTACACAGATTATGTAGTACCCTTCTGACAGGCTGGGGAAAAAAACTGAACTGTACTTTCAGCTTGGCAGAATGGAAACTCTTCTGTTTCTTTTCAGTGGATACTTGGTCTCCCCCTTCCCTCCCCACCCCACCCCACCTATTTTATAGCTGTCTGTACCTTCCTCATGGTGGTAACTGTGGTCATTTAAAGGTGTTTTCTTCCTTTTATTGAAGTCTCTCCCTCAGTAGAAAGAGGGACCACAAAGTAAAATAGAAGTGCTCTGGGAGCGTGCTGGAACACATTTCTAGTTTATACGAAGGGTTGAAGCTGGGATTTACTCTTATCTAAGAATCCCACAGTCTCTTTCAAAATAGCATGAAATGGAGTACAGCATGCTGCATAAAAAGCAGACTGCACTTCTGCAGCACAAGTCAATAAAAATGATTGTTGTACTTTGAACTGGGTCTTTTCTGAGCATTTGCTGTCATTACTCAAGTCTGTTTCTTTCTCTTGTAGTGGTGGGGTTATGATCTACATTGACCGAATAGAAGTTGTGAATATGTTAGCTCCATATGCAGGTATTTGCTCCTTTTTTTTTTTCCTTCCTGTTTCACTAAGCAGTTCTCTGATTGACTGCATAGGTCTGTTGAGACAGTGAGTTAGTATTCCTGGGAAAGTAGAATCCCCATTGCTTGTGTGATTTTAAAACTAGACTGGCTAAAGCACCATGCAGTATATCATAGAGGAAACTTGTGGTGCCGAAATAATGGGGGGCCCACATGGTATCCCTTTTGTCTGTCTGCACACAGTGTGCCTCATCAGGTTATTTTATTCAGTTCAATGTGACCTCCACTGCTCTATGCTGAAGAGTTTTACTTGCTCTAATCACTGCTTAAACAATAAGGGGCTATTTTCAGAAGAACTAAAACTAAGCCCTGTAATTCTAGAAGAAAACTCACTTTTCATTCAGGAAAAAGTGGTTGAATTCTTCCTGTAGGAATAAAACTCCATTCAGCTTTCACTGGGGAACGTAGGAAGCGGGACAAAGTTTTTTTTTGTTTTTTTTTTCCTGACTGTAACATAGGCTGCTTGTGTGCATCTTTTCTGCTTGTTTCCTCAGATGCAGAGTAAGGTTGTCCTGTCTTTCAGGGAGTTTGGGAAATGCAGTGCATTGCTTTAAGGCAGTGGTGCTCAACTGTTGGCCCCACGGGCCAGATAAGTGGTGTGGGGTCAGTGCATGGGCCAGATCAAGCCCCATGTACTCAGATTAGGTCCCTAGGGCCTGGCGCTGCCCCTTCCCACCCCTGCATGCTGAGATTTGGCTCTGGGCCCAGCACTGCCCACTCCTGACACTGAGATTAGACCTTGGGGACCAGTGCTCCCCATAGGCCCAGAAATCTGGCAGCAAGGGAGTGGTGCCATTGCTTCCCTGCTGCCAAATTTCCAGACCTGTGGGGAACCCCATGGGCCAGATAGGGCCTGCGGTGCAGTGTCATCGGGCCCACGGGCCAAGGTGTGAGCACCCTTGCTTTAAGCCATTGCCAGATCTTTGGTTGGATGCTGCTAGAGAAACGGAGTATGATTCAGTGGGGCCTTTCAAGGAGTTCCACCTCTGTGCCAGGAGGTCTCACAGAAGATGAGCAGGTGCACTGACCTCCATGCTGCTTTTCTGCGTACATTTTGCTGTGTCAGCCTTATAGCACATCTTTATAAGTGAACTGACCAAAAAGTGCCTGCTTTTGGGAATGTGTCTGTGCTCAGCCATTGCCACAGGCAGTGAAGTCAGTGCATATGTTACAGTTAAACAAGGATGTGCACAGTTGAGGGGACTTCCTTTTCTAGGAGTAGCTTCCTGCTTATGACAGATTTGCTCTTGGCTTTTGCTTCCCTCTGAAATAGTTGTTTGCCATCTTCATCCTTCTGGGGAATGAGTGCTTCCCTCTAGAGCATAATAAAGTCAGCTGCCTGACTTTCCAGATAACTGGGCAAAAATAAGCCCCAAGAACATCATATTGGCTAGAATGAGGGCAAATAAAAAGTAGAGTTTGAATGCATCTCAGCTGTGGCAGAACAGTCATCTTGCAACAGCTGAAAACCGCATCCATTTTCTCTAGCCTGGTGCCTTTTATGTCTCTCGTCACTGTAGAATCTGATTCTACTTATGGGGTCACATGTCCCTCCAGGCTGGAATTTTCCGGCCCTGGTCTTTATAGCAATGAATGAGAAGATTGACTGCCTGTCCATGGGAAAGTGAAATCCTCTGGACTTGGCCAAACCAAAGCTGATGTTTCAAAGAGCTTTCACTCAGAAGAACTTGCTTTGTTAAGTTTGGAAAGGGGACAGAAAACTGCAAAAGCGAGTACGTGCAACAAAATTCACAGCCAGCTACGTACAGCATTTACAAGTTTGTGAATGTATCAGATGGGGGTTAGGCATTTACAGTGCTTCTGTTTCTGCGCTGTGAAACTAATTGCTGTACAGGAAACTTTAGAAGCTCCGTTTGTACCTCCTGTGGAATATAATCCTACAGGAAGAGAAATCTGACATTTTTTTCCTTCAAATTAAGGGATTTCAGTGGAGAAAACAAGTGTTACTGCAGCGTCCATACGTGAAATCACTCTCTGTTCTTTGCTCTGCACTTAGACTTAGCATTAACTTTGGCCCACTGCATAGTACTCTCTGTTCCTGTTGACATGAGTCATGGCATATTTCCCCACTTTGTTAGTACAGACCATAAGTCACAGATATGCAGTACTTTTTGTATAATTACCCTTCTTATTTAGGTTTTGTCTATGCAAACTAGTGTTCTCCATGTATTTGACTATGTATTTTTCTTTAGATAGTGTGCAAGCAGCAAAGCATTGTTCCTTTACAGTGTTAGAGCTGGTCTCTTGTAATTAAATTTTTTTTCCCCAGTGTATGACATTGTGAAGAACTACACTGCAGACTATGATAAGACCCTCATCTTCAATAAAATTCACCATGAGCTGAACCAGTTCTGCAGTGCCCACACTCTCCAGGAAGTGTACATTGAGCTGTTTGGTAAGTAAGTGGGCACTTAAATACACACAGCAAATGGGTGTATAATTTAGCTCAGGATTTTCCAGGGTCTTCAGTCAGATTTGTCAGTTAAGAAGCCCAGCACTTAGTGCAAAACAAACTCCTTGTGAGTACTAGTATCCCTTTACTCTAGAATTATTCTGTGTTGAACAGTCATGACTCTGTTCATGTGACTTCACACATCCTAGATTTGAATTCCCCTGCTTGTCCAGGAATGTACCTTGGATGCCAGGTACAGCAAAACCAGCCTGGTGCCTGCTGCTGCATTGCAGCAAAAAGGGGCACCATTTTCTTTTCTTCCCTTTCTGCCCATCTGTTTTCAGGGACATAGATGTCACACACTGCGCGAGCCAACCTTGCACCAATTCTAAGTGAGCCCTAGACCCTACACTGGAATCCACCTTCCCATTCTCTGTTTTCTTCATGGAAACTGAAAAGGACTTTTCAGTCCCTTATCCTCCCTCCTTGACTCCTTACCACAAAATGAGGTCACATGCATCACCCTAATCCCTTCATAAGGGAACAGCTTTGGTTCAGTGTGCAATGAACTTGGAGGTCCCATTTGTTTCCTACTGTGTGGTGTACTTAGGACTTCTCTTCCCCCTTCTTGCCCTCCCCAGTTTGAAGCCTGGATGCCAGTTGCAGTGCTCCTATCCTATACTGGCTTCCTGTTCACTGGAACCAGCATTGAGTGAGGGTTCCCTCTGGAAGGGCGAGTCAGGGCACAAGAGGTTTCCTATTACAGGAAGACTACCTGCATTTAGGCTTCAGTATGTGATGGTAAATCTCTGGCAGACATGTGATATACTAGTGGCAGATAAAAGTTTGACCCTTTGGAAACTGCCTAACTCTTAGGGAAACATCTTTTGGAAATAGCTGACTCCCAAGCCTACTTGGAGGTAGGGATGGGCATTGCTGTACTCTGAAGCTTCCCTTTAGTTCTTGGCATGTGTATGAGTTGGCCTTTGTTGTCTGCTCTGAGTGATTTTTAGAAACAGGCTTGCAGCGTCTTCAAGGATGACTAGAGTTAAACCAGAGCCTGATGCCCTTCATAGGGAGGGGAAATCATGTGCTTTGTCCTAGGCGTCTGGCTATGTTTTCTCAGAAAATTATGCAGGGGAGTGTCAGGTCTAGAGAAGCTTTTTGTATTATAACAGCATCCTGATCCTAAAGAATCTAGAGATTTAAGGCCAGGTCTCAGACTGGGATTGGAGTCAGCTTGACTCAGGATGGGGGAGGGCAGAGTTTTGCAGCAAGTTCTGGCTGCTTTTTCCTATTGGCATCAAGCCAGCGTGGTAAGGTCAGAGCTTTCGATGTCTTGCAAGTGTCAGCACCCTGGCTTCAGTGAGCTCAGTAAGGGAAGAATCTATCTTTAGTGTCTAAATCACTGTGGCTGGGCTTCTGGCTAAGATGAACTGAGGTTTTCCAATGAACTGTGAGGGAAGAAGGAATTCCTCACTGTGTCCTTCAGAATTCAGGGTGGACATACCCAGAGAGCAGCAGATGAAAGGGGAAATTCATCATCACATTAAATGCAGAAGTTCAAAAGTACATGCACAGGACTCTCCATGCTCTGCCCACCACTTTTTTTCTGTGACAATAGCACACACATGTCCATAAGCACACATGGTTTCCCTGACCCTGTAGCTCTGTGGAGTTGAGATGGTGAACAGCATATTGCATGTGCTTTCAAAGTTCTTGGAGTGGCTGTCGTAGCTGCACAAATGCTGACAAGGAGAAATGCTAACTCTTTCCCTTCCGACCAGAGATTCATTTAGGCTGTTTCTGTTATCCCCTGAACGCAGATCAGATAGATGAGAATTTGAAGTTGGCCTTGCAGAAAGATCTCAATGTCATGGCACCAGGTCTCACCATCCAGGTAGGAAGATTCTGCATTTTATCCATGTAAACTTTAATTAGTGAGGCAGGATGGGAATGATTTTTCACCTGCGAGTTCTGTGGAGGTCTCAAGTTGCTGAGCATTGGGCACATGCATGGTTTGTCTGTGCTCTATTTAGGTTTCAGAACATGTTTCCTGTGGGGCCTGTCACCACTTCTGAACTATGTGTTTTCCATACAGAATCCAAAGTGTTGTAATGGTCAGAAAAGAAATGTGCAAAAGAGATGGACAGCAATGGTCTCTCTCTAATGCACAGATCTGCATGCATTAGGATTTAACCTGCAAGCACTAGTGACAAAAAAAGGTTTTTTCCACTTCTGCTCTTGCTGCAGAGCCAACCTCCTCCCAATAGCCTGGACATAAGACATATTTACACTGATGTAATTTTCAGTTTTGGAACTAACAGCAGCCAGCTTTTCTGCAGTAGTTTCATGCCTTGCCACTGGATGCAGGGAAGCAGGCAATGGTTTGCCTTGAGCCCACAGGTACATCAGTATAAGCTGGACAGAAGACTTGTCTGATGGTGTAGCTATGCTTCAATTTTTTTATGGCAGTAATTCTACCCTGGATTGGTTCAAATAAATAACTCAGGGGTAGGGACTTTAACTTTTGCTTCTAATTCTTTTTTATGCTGATGTTGAGAGCAGTCACACTGGTAGGACTGGGCTGTGTGACTTGGGCCTGGCAGTGTGAAAGGGGAAAAAAGCTGTCCCTAGTTGTCATTGCATTTATTAAAGGTAACTGAAATAAAAATGGGGGGTTGGTTTGCACTTTAGTGTCTCTTTGGCAAGTGCAGACGAGGGTGTTCATTTTCAGAAGAATTTCTGTTTGCATTTTACATTAGAAAATGGGTTTTCTCTTGGGGCTGAAATGGAAAACGGTCAGTTAAAAGAACCTATTCTGAGGTCCAGGGAACTGAAGTGAAAGTAGAAGTGGCGGGAGGAGGTCAGTCTGCTTTTGCCTGCTCTTGCCACCACATTTAACTTTGCCTGGTTAGTGTTTTGAATGGAAGCCTTTGTTAAAAACCAACATCCTCACCCTTGAGTTTGAGTGAAGTCTGCCTGGATAAGGATAGCTGAGTCGACATCCTGTCCTGGTTCACTTTGGAAGAGGCCTGGGGTTCCTGTAAAACACACGGAACTATCCAGTCTGTATATTCCTGACATTCTTAGGTAAAAATCAAAAAGGAAATTCCCTTTTTAAATTAAAAAAACAAAAAACACTTTTCAGACCCTGTGTGTGCATTTACATGTGTGCTTTACTGCACAGTTGACCAATTAGGTCTGCAGTAAAGCATCACTGTTTACATGTGCACTAGCATTAGAGCACAATGAATTAATTAACTCTACCATAAGAGAGTACTATCAGGTGACAGTTCCTATGTTAAGGCGGAGTCGTTTACTGCATAGAAAGGACATGTGGACAGTGACCAGGACTGCAGCAGCTTGAGCCAGGACAGATCAGCCCCAGGCTGGCAGCAGGCTTGGAGTGTCAGCCAAACAGCTCCGCACTTTGGGCACTCTCACGCCCCAGCCGGCCCCTCTGCTGCCTAATGCTGTCACCTGGAACCCAGGGCTGA